AGTTTTAAAAACCAGTGGGAAAAACAGCTTTTCCAAATGTGGTGAGACGCTTGTCTGTCTTGCTGCATGGTTGTTTACGTCTTGTGGTGTGAACAAGAAATCTGATCACAAATGCCTAAACCACTTCCTTGGCCAGCGGGTACCTAAATTTTCTGCCAACCAGGGCACTGTATTTACTCCTTTGACCCTATCTTGTGTTGGACCTCAGAATTCCACCCCTTCCCCCCACCCCCAGGCTCTCCCAGCAGCCTGAACTTTCCCACATTTCCCTCCTGGGAAGTTCCGCTAAACTCACTGGATTGCTGGGATTCAGATGGCCCATGGGCATGAACTGGTCGAGGTCTAGGGGATTAGGGTGGGGTCCGGGCCTTGAGATCTGCCTCCATTGCCCTGGCTTCAGGCATGGCACACAATAGGTTTTCAGAATACAAGTTCAAGTGGTTGGAATGGACTGCAGGAACCCAGTTAGGTCATGCAAAGTCTCCCCGACCTCTACCTGGTTCCCTAGGAAGGCTCTGCAGTGAATTAGGTAATGCTCACTTCTCACGGAGGTGCCTCTTGGGATGCTTGGCAGTGCAGGGAGGTCAGGGGCTGGAGGGGCTGCAGGTGAGTGAAGAGGAGAGCCCAGGCTCATTAGCAAAGGAGAGACTATGAGGACAATCCTAGACCATAGGAAGAGCTGCAGGAGGGCTTACTGTAATAAAATCTGGAGTAAACAGACTTGGGTTTAAATGTGAGCTCCATTTTTTACCAGCTGTGGACCTGGTATGTTGCTTAACCTTTCTGCACCTTAAATTTGCCATCTACATGATGGGACTGATAATCAAGACCCTTTCTACCCCAAAAGTTGGATTAGCTCAATATGAGTTAATAAATTTCTGACTCTTCACTGCTCTGCATGTTGAGGGATAAGTTGTATCCTCTAGATTATAATCTATACAAATATGTGGTTGGCCCACTGAGCTATAGGCCTGATTCCTGAGTTAGGAGCACCGGTTTCTCCCTCTTCCATCGGTTCGTCTCTTCTCATCTCTGACTTTTCTCTTCTGTATTTCTCCCAAGATCTAAAATTATTATTCACCATTGCATCCCCAAGCCCACCCGCAGTTCCCCAGCATGGGAGTGCTTTCCTTGTGGACAGAGGCAGGCAGGACAAGGCAGTGGTGGGATTGCATATCAGTGCCTCCTGCACGGAGAGAGATGTCATGTGCAGCCGGTGGGCAGTGATGGTGATGTTTTGACATGTGTTGAGTGGTTTCGATTCCAGAAGGTGCACATCAGAGTAGTGGGACATGTTTGGATAAATCAACCAACCTGAATCGGAGCTCTCTCTCTCTTTTTTAAAAGATTTAATTAATTTATTTATTTGAGAGAGAGAGAGAGAGAGCACATGAGTGGGGAGAGGAGCAGAGGGAGAGGGAGAGAGAGAATCTCAAGCAGATTCAGTGCTGAGCCTGGAGCATCATGCAAGGCTCGGTCTCATGACTCTGAGATCATGGCCTGAGCTGAAATCAAGAGTCGGACACTTAACTGACTGAGCTACCCAGGTGCCCCTGAACTCTTTCTTATACCAACAATACAGCTTTCCTTCTTTTCTTCCTAATTCTCATGTCTGCCTGCTCAGCAGGGCCAGAGCATCCAGGCTAGAGTGAAGCTGTCTTCTTCATTCCCTTGCTCTCTGGACAATGGGTCTTCACCCAGGGCGGGCTGTAGAACAGATTTTGTGTCGGTGTGGGTGGAGAAGCAGTTCCCTCTTGTGGGTGCTGACACCGTCCTTTCTGGGACTGCAGAGAACAAACCATTTGGAAGGTTGTGAATTGTACATATCTCCCACTCTCCCTCCTCCTCCCCCAGGACAGCTTCATAAATGGGTGCCAAACCTAACATTTTGAGAGATTGGTGAGGAGGGCATTGAGGGGTACCAAAGGGCTTAAACCAGCAGCAGGGGGCTTGGTTCAGGTTTGTACGAATGGACCTAACAGGGGCCATGAGTGCCAAGTACAGCAAATGCTTGGATCACACTTGCTGACCATCGTACTCCAGACAGGACCTCTTGGGAAGTTTTTAACTGCAGAGTTACTTCTGGAAACTGCTCTCTCAGGTATCATGTTCTCCTGGTTACCCACAGAGCATGCTTTGTCAGATACGCCCCTTCATGGCACAGATACTAATTGAGCCCCTACTCCTTGTCATGCCCTGGGGCCACAGAAATGATGAGGCCTTGGTTTCAGTGGTCAGAAACTCATCTTCTAGCAAGGGACACAGGATAGAGTTGACAGGATATAAGTAGACAGGATAGAGGCAGGCCCAAGAATGTGGCAGGAGAGAGGAAACACTTCTCCAGTGGAGGATGGTCTTAGAAGGGTTCCTGGAGGAGGCAGAGGAAGAGCTCACATGTGAAAGATGAACAGGCATTCAGAGGGAAGAGGTGGCAGCATGGGGGTGGTGGCGTGAATCAGCTATCCTGGTCTGCCAGGGAATGAGGGGGTTCCTGGGACATGGGATTTTCAGTTACCAAGATGGAGACAGTTCTGAGCGCACTGGGATGGTTGGTCACCCTAGGCAGTGAAAGGGCCAGTTGGAAGGACCGGGGTTTGTAGCCCAGCTCTGCTACTGAAAAGCTGTGTGGCCATGGGTAAATTGTTTAACTACTCTGAACCTAATTTCCTTATCTAAAATCCGAGAATATATGTAGGACTCCACCTAGCCCAGTGGTATCAGTATCAGGTAGTTACTTAGGTGGAGAAAGCAGCATTTTCAAATGCCAGGCGGAATGTGGTTGGGGCAGAGCATGAAGAAGGGTGTGGTGAGAGGTTGGCTGGAGATAGAAGCAGGAGCCAGATTAGAAAGGGTCTGAATAGCATCCTAAGGAATTTAGATTTTTTCCCCTAGGACAACGGTTAATCACTGAATTAATTTTAGAAGATGAGTAAGGCAAGCAGATTTTTGCCTTAGAGAGGTTGTCTTGGAAGCAGAGGGGAGAGTAGATTAGGAGTTGAATCTGGAGGGGGCAGGGAGGGTAAGGATGATGTAGTGAAGTGATCGGGAACAGGGAGTTATATTCTGAGAAAAACAGGAACGCTAAGTGGAGGATTCCAGAGGAGGCCATCAGCCAGCTCAGAGTCAGGCTGGGCGCCCCAAAGGTTAAAGGGGTAGGCATGTCATCTTCTGAGGTTAGGTGCTGCCCGTGGACTGTAGCTACATGCTGGGCTGGCCTGGAAGGTTCTGTGCTTTCCAAAGAGATCTGACACCTGGGAAACTGTGTGAATGAGGATGACCTCATGAGCTTCTTGGGATGTTTTAGGTCCTCTGGCTAGCACACAGGTCCTTCTTGTCTTTTCTCCATCTTCTTCCTTGGCTTCATCCTGCATGGGAGGCTTCTTGCCAGTGCTTTGACATCTCATCATCTCCATGGTGACAGAACAATGGTGTCCTAAACACATGACCTCACCGTGCGGTTATGCAGAAGAGTGTGCTGGAAGGGGCGCTGTGGGGGTTTGACGAGTCTGGTTGGGATAGGAACCCCTCTGGACCAGATGCCTCTGGAACGGTTCCCCAGCCCTTGGGAGAGGATGCACCAGCCCTGCAGTGGAGGTAACTTGGGCTGGCCTGCCGACAGTGGTCTCAGCCGCCTTTGCAATTTGGAATTGGGAACAACTTTCTGTAGATAATAATCAGAAGTTATAAAAGAGAATTGACTGACCTCAAATAAATAGGTTGTGGTGTTTTTTGTACATAAATACTTCAAATAAATGAAAAGGCAAAAGACAAGTTTGGGAAATTATTTGCAGTAAATATAATGTACACAGTTATTATCTTCAATATGCAAAGAGGTAAAAAGAGATTTAAAAAGTTATAATAACTAAGAAAAAAAAAAACCCTAGTAGAAAATGTGACAAAGATAAAACCAGAAAATTGATAAAGGAAAGGATTCATTCATTCATTCATTCATCCTTTCAATAAATTTATTGAGCACTTACTATGTGGCAGGGGCTAGTGCAGGCATTAGAAATACAGTAGTAAACAAAACAGGCAAAAATCCCTGTTCTCTGGTGTTCCAGTGCTTTCTACGATCTCTCTCTCTCTCTCCTGTATCTTCTTGTATTTATTTTTTTACATTAATTCCAGATAAACTCTTTATTCATCTGGAATTATTTTCACATAAAACCGAGTGGAGAATTTCCTCTCCCCTCTAATGCAAGCCACATTCCCTAACAATTAATTAATGAACCCTATCTCTACTCAGTAGCTCCCTTAAATCGTCGTGGCTCTGTGCCACCACCGACCCCATAGGCTTCCCGTGGTTGGGAAGGGTTGTGACAAAGGTAACTCTAGGTCACTGTGTTGGTCGCTTTCTCCAGGAGATGGCCCTCGCAGTCTTCTTTGCTCTCTTACCTGAATGAATCCTTAGAGACTTTGGGAGTCACAGAACAAAGAGAACTTATATTGCACAATTTCTAAAGCTGATTTCCAGCATTCCCATCATGTTTTGTGTCTGGTCATGTTCCTAAAGCTTACACATTTTTCCTGTTTCTGGGACATGACATGGTCACACATGGACGTGGTTGTTGGGGACCATCCTGCTGAGCGTATTCTAACACAGCCATCTCAGGGATGAGCAGTGCCCTTTAGAGCTGTCGTGCGAGCCCCGGTTTTTTCCTCCTGTCACCCATACGCTTCTTTTAAAAAAAGGATTTGCGAAAAAATTGGAATAAATTTAGTTTGCCCCCGGAAACATGGTATTTCTTCAAGTCTGCTTTTATGTCTCACAGTAAAGTTTTTAAAAATGTTTTTAATAGATCTTGCGTGTTTTCTCATTAAGATTATTTTTAGGTTTATTATAATTATTTCACTGCTCATTTAAATGGAGTATTTTTTTTTTTCACCACTGTATTTTTGATTATTATTCACTAGCTGATTTCTGGTATATAGGTAACTGATAGATTTATGTATTTTTATTTTATTTATTTTTAAAAATATTTTATTTATTTGGGAGAGAGTGAGAGAGAGAGAGAGAGAGAGAAAGAGAGAGAGCACAGGCAAAGGGAGGGGCAGAGGGAGAGGGAGAGGAAAACGCAGGCTCCTCCCTGAGCAAGGAGCCTGATGCGGGGCTCTATCCCAGGACCCTGGATCATGACCCGAGCTGAAGGCCGATGCTTAACTGACTAAGCCACCCAGGTGCCCCTGATTTGTGTATTTTTATTATTTGTTTGTTTATTTATTTTTTAAAAAAGATTTTATTTATTTATTTGACAGAGTGAGAGACAACGAGAGAGGGAACATAAGCAGTGGGGGAGTGGGAGAGGGAGAAGCAGGCTTCCCGCCGAGCAGGGAGCCCGATGCGGGGCTCGATCCCAGGACCTTGGGATCATGACCTGAGCTGAAGGCAGACGCTTAACGACCGAGCCACCCAGGTGCCCCAGATTTGTGTATTTTTAACTTGTAATTGCTCACCTTACTAAACTGTTACTAGTTTTGGTAGTTTTTCTCTGGGATTTATTTATTTTTTTTGTAAAATATAGTATCTTCTGCCAGTAAGGGTAATTTGATCTCCTGGATTTAAAAAGAAATATATCTGTTTCATGTTATTGGCTAGAAATAGAAAATGTATAGTTATGATCGTGACAGAAGTCATATTTGCCTTGTTTCTAATTTTAGTGGACATGAGCCTGTTGTTTGACCATGAGTAGGATGTTGATTACAGCCTTGTAGACTGCTAGGGTTTTTTTTTCTTTTTTAATTCATAAAATGTATAAAAAAATATATCCTTAGAATCTCTTATGGCTTTTTTTTTCCCTGTGACATATTGATGTAGACGAGTGTATACTTCCAAATCCTAAATCATCATTACATTCCAGGGATAAATACAGTATTAGTCATATTGAGTTATTCTTTTAATATCTCCCGGATTTGATTTGTTTTTTTTTATTTGGGATTTTTGCATCTATACTCATAAGTAAGATTGATCTCTATATATGTGTGTGTACATGTATACAAGATTACACATATAATATTATATATGTATTTGTATATTATCTTGGCCACTTTCTCATTAAATTACGTTTGTCTTCTAAAAGGAATTGGGACACTTTCCAGCTTCTTCTCTGCTCTAGAATAAGCTGAAGGAACTAATCCATAAAACTGTCTTAGCTCATAGCCTTTTGTAGAGATAATTCCTTCACATTTTTTTCTAATTTATTTCATGTTTAATGGTGTAACAGAGGATATTCTTCTTAAGTCAGTTTTGGTAACTTTTATCATCCTAGAAAATTGTCTATTTCATCAAGATGTTCATAGTAATAAACATAGCTGTTCCTCCTTAGCACTCTGGTCATGGGATGGACCTTAATTAAGTTTACCCTGATTTTCCTTGGAACAGCTGAGGCAAACTGGACATTTCAAGAGACAATAATTACCAAAGAGGATGGATGGGGAAAAACAGCACAGAGAATTCAAGAAGCCGTGGCGACCACAGCACATTTTCCAAGTTCATGGCTTCTGAGCTCCAGCCTCTACCTTCTCGTCCTAAAGGGTTGACAGTTTTTCAGACACTTTGCCTGAATTTTTTAGTTTCTAGTTCTATATGGATTCCTAACGAGAAGATTCCATTTTAATACTAGAATTCCCTCCTAGACATTTTGACATTCTTGTGGCTGAAGCCGCATATGCCAGAAGCACTCTGATCCTCTCCTTGGCCCTCCTTCCTTCCTCCTTGTCTGGTCTTCAGTGTGAGGGCACCCCTCTCCCTATAGGTAAGAATAGCCCCTTACACCTCGGGAGGATTTGTCCCGGCCCAGACCTCATCCTGCCCCTAGTCACTTAGCTACGTGATGAACACCATAGCAGGAATGCTGCTTGCTTTCACAGCAAAGGAGAATGATAATATATTTGTAAAATCAACTATTGTTTATCCTTAAGAAAACAAATCTTGATTAAGAACATTAAAAATGTTTCAATCCCTTGTAAAAGTTTATATACAAAAGAGGCAAGTGTTGCAAATTATGAGAGTAAACCAGTAGTGTTTGGAAGACAAACACTTCTCATTTATGGTCAACTCCTCCAAAATGGATCTTCATCATTTATTTTTTTTTTAAGATTTTATTTATTTATTTGACAGAGAGAGACACAGCGATAGAGGGAACACAAGCAGGGGGAGTGGGAGAGGGAGAAGCAGGCTTCCTGTGGAGCAGGGAGCCCCATGTGGGGCTCGATCCCAGGACCCTGGGATCATGACCTGAGCCAAAGGCAGACACTTAACGACTGACCCACCCAGGTGCCCGATCTTCATCATTTACATACCGGTTCATACCTCCTCAACTTGGAGAGATGGGAGATGGAGGTGTTCTAGAGCTAGAGAGGCTGCAGAAGGATGTCTGAATTGGAAGTTTTGCTCAGGAACTGGCTGGGGGAGAGGTGAGCTATGGGGCCAGTGATCTGACCTTCATGAGGGCATCTCCGGTTGCTGGGAACCCACAGAAAACACAATTAAGGCCAAGTCCAGGCAGCTGAGTGGTGTTACTGTGCTGTCATAGATGTCTCATTGTAGGGGTCTTTTCTTCCAGAAGGGGACCCTGGAGGTACCGCTTCCCCTATTTATTCATAAAATGCTGGTCATAAACATTTGAGGGATCCTGGAAGATGGTGAATAATTTCAAATAGTCCAGTAATCGTGTTCAGACCACACGCCACTGCTGAGAAGAGCTACCATGGCCAATGGGCTTGATCTCAAAATGGGGCTGGTCTTCTCATTCACATTAGGAACTCATTGTGGCGAGGACTTTGTCTTCACTTTGACCCACTCTCCCCTAGACAGACATTTGTTCCTGTTTACTACTGTGGACAAAAGGCCTAACCAGCCCGAGTCTGGGCAGCGAGTTCAGTCCAGAGACCCTAAGTAAACCCGTCTCTAGAATGACTGCTCTTGTCCATTCTGAGAACTGTCCCACCGGCCCTCCAAGGGCGAGTTCAAGTTCTCGCCTCTCCAGAAAACTGCCTGTTGATTACCCCAGTCCAAAGGAGTCTCTTCTTTCCTTAACCTTCCAGCAGCATCGACTTTATGCAGAACTTCTGAATCGCACTCATGTGACAAATATACTTAGTAAATGTTGAGATGATGAGGAAAAGTTGAATCAAGGCTTTCCACTTCTGAAGACAGCCTGGCTTTCAGAAAGAGATTGTGGAGCTCAGGAGCAGGTCTGGACCACAGTGGGTTCTCTTCATTCTGCTGTTAGTTTTTTTTCTCAAATGGCTTCAGACTATATTTAAGCTGATTTCTGGTGCCCGCCCAGGAAGCCCCATTCTGCAGTCTTAGGGGTTCCCCTGGGCACATCCAGGGTTTACAGAGGGTCTCTGGACCAGGCTAGGCAATCGGGGCCTGTGTGTCCTGCCACTTATATCCAGCCTTGCAGTGTGGTGGGCAGAGTGCCAAGGGGGATTGTCTTTGCGTTTGCTCAACTCAGGCAGTTCGGTGCAGACACACCTGGCTCTAGGGCTCTCGGTGCTTTATGACCAGAACAGCTCTGGGTGGAAGCTCAGCTCACTGCATCCTATATGACTTTGGTCAGTTTCTTCCTTTCGCTGGGCCTCAGTGTGCCCATCTGAAAAATAGGGGTATCGGACTTAACAATCCGAGGCTCTTTTCACTCTGAGAATTTGTGACACGTTGGACTGGTTGGGTGAAGGAATAAACATTAGGTGTAATAGTTTGCTAGGACTGTCGTCATAGTACCTGACACAGTGTGGTTTAAGCAACAGAAATGTATTTACTCATGATTCTGGGGCCGGGAGTCCAAGGTGGCAGGGTTGGCATTATTCTGAGGCCGTTGACCTCAGCTTGCAGATGGCTGTCCTCTCCCTGTGTCCCTATGTGGTCTTTGCTCTGTGTGCCTGCATTCCTGTGTCCAGATTTCCTCTTTTATGAGGATGCCAGTCAGATTGGATTAGGGCTCATCCATATGACCTCATTTTCACTTAATGTCCCCTTTAAAGACCTCTCTCCACATACAGTCACATGGTTGGGTACTGCAGGTTAGCCCTTCAACAGGTGAATTCTGGGCGGAGGCAGTGGGCAGGGGGCAGAGGGAGGACACAGGGCACAGTTCAGCCAGTAACTATAGGAAGGAGAAGACCGGTGTTAGGTAGTGAAAGCTCCTGTTTGAAGAAATGCTTTTATCCACTTCAAGAATTAGTAGCAAGTGGCAGCTCGAACTAGGCTTTGAAATGCCACATGGGGGTCCTTGGGACCTTCTTTAATGCATAGGTAGATTGATCTGTAATAGACGTATACTGATCTCTATGTGCAGCAAGAAGGTAGACTGATGGAGGGGTGAATCTGCCCCTCAGTCTGAGGCTGAAGATGCATCCAGGGCAGGATGGGGATGTAAGGATGAAAAAGTAAAATGAGGATGATTTGGAAGGCCCTAAATTGTGGGTGAAGGGGCTTAGCCTTCTCCAGTAACAGGCAGAGAGGTAAGTGAGTAAAAGTTGTTCAGGTATTTCCCTTTCTGATGGAGGTGACTTTAAAGGCAGAGTCCGGGTGAGCACCCTACCCAGGGACCTGAATCCCTTCCAGTGGAATTTCTAGGACCCTGGTGAGGGGTCAGGGGCTTCCATAACTCTCCTGAAGTCCCCTTGCCTTTGCAGTCTTCGCCCTAGGCTTGTCTCTAAAATGTGGCCTTTGAAGTAAGTTTATATAGGAAAGTGCCCGTATGAGAGCCGGGACTGTAGAGATGGTCCATTCCAAACATCTCATCTTAGTGGGAAACTGATGATCAGAGAAACAAATAGTTAGGTCTACATTGAGGTTGTGCATTTAGTTGGGAAGAAGGTTGGATGAGAACTCGGGCTCCTGACCCCCGGTACGTGGCATCTGCCTGGCCAGAGTGCAAGTGTCATGAGCAGGGGCAGTCCTGCCTAAGGCAGGATGTGTGGGACGCAGCAGGGTAGCTCTGTGCTCTCAGTTCACATGGTGCCGTGTTCTGGTGCTGTAGAATGTGCAGCTCGAAGCAGCAAACTCAGAGACGGCTCTGCAGAGCTCCTGTGTTCCAATGGCTCCCTGCACCTTCTCAGCAAATGCAGCCGGAGTGACTTGGTCCCAGGTTCCTAGGTGAACCGGGGGGGGACAAACCCCTTAGGGCAGATGCAGCTGCCTCCCAGGGCTAGTGACTTCTTAAGGTCCC